CGCAATTGCTATATTGCACTCTTGTTGAACAATCTCTGCTACACTTGTGTAACGTGTTGAGAAGTATATATATGAAATGTTTCATTAGAGGAATAAAAATAAGTTTTTAATAATATTCTTTGAAAAAAAGAAAATTCAAAATATTTAAAATTGCTGATTTATATCTTAAAAAATTCAATTTTGGTCAATGTATTTAATTGTATAATAAAACTTTTTAAAAATTGTAGAGAACTGCCATATTTTTATTTTTTGTATCATGCATATTTGAACAAAGAACGATAACTCTTCACACTTGGGTAATAACATTCAGAAAGAGAAAATTTCTTTAACTAGTATATCTATTTCAAGAATGATTTCAGCTATTAAAAATAAATAGGAAAACTGAAAAGAAAAAATATAGAAAAGCATTCTGGAATAATAATCATTATAAAAGCATTCTCATTTTTCATCATAGTGTTTAATTTATTGATTTTCATCAGAGGGTTTTAATAACGTTGATTGATGACGTCACAACTGCATCAAAACAAAAATGTGATGACAGCGCGGCTTGTATCCAGATAACTGTGTTTGAGAGGGAAATACTTTATAAATATGTTTGTGATTTATTAGAGAAAAGGAGCATTAATCAGGTTTACTGATTTTAAAGCCGTATGTTTTTCTTTACTGAAGACAAGAAGCTGCGTCCTTATGTAAGTTAGGATTTCCTCTGATATTCTTGAAAAAAAAATCAAAGAATGCAAATATAAGTAATAAACAACGATTATTCAGTGAACATGGCATTATGAATAGCAATAGCTCTGCTGGCATATTTTCCATGATGCGCTAGCGCGCATCATGGAATATGCCAGCAGAGCAATTGCTATTCATAACGCCATGTTCACTAAATAACGTTGTTTATTTCTTAAATTAAGCATTGAATTCATATTTTTGGATGTCTTCGGTCCTATAACACACCTTGCCGTGCCGACTAATTGAATACCGCGCGTTAGCGCGGTATGATAATTTGTCGGCACGGCCAGGTGTGTTATATTTTTGGATGTCTTCGGTCCTATAACACACCTGGCCGTGCCGACAAATTGAATACCGCGCGTTAGCGCGGTATGATAATTTGTCGGCACGGCCAGGGGTGTTATAGGACCGAAGACATCCAAAAATATGAATTCAATGCTTATATTTACATTCTCTAATTTTTTTTCTTCATAATTGCTTATTTCGTTAATCTTTAATGTGAATTTAGCGCCTTTCAAAACTGCCGTGGTTAATAGATGTAAGAGCCGTTTGTGACGTCAAATGACGTTAAATGACGTTGCAAAGTTAACTTACGCAAACAAACATTGCGAGGAAAAAAAGTGACAAATTAATTCTTAACGCACGTTACGTTAACTTTCTACGTTAATTTTTCAGGGTTATAGTTTTTCATTAAATTGAAGTAAAATATTTTACATTTTGGTGTTCCTAGAGTATTGAAATTGCATATAGTTCCTACTGTGTATTCTAACGCGCGGTGACAAGGTTTAGCGTGTGTTATAGTATTTTGAACATCGTGGATTTCCAATGAATTTCATAAGGAAAATCACACTGAATGTAAATATTATTACATAATCACTCAAAGTGAATGCACTGGCACTGTCCCAACTACAGAGTTATTACGTCACAATTGTTAAACATTATATTATGATGTCACGTTCTAAGTAACTTCAGTGCAACCGAACGCTGTGTTGTGCGATATCATTTTCCGCCGACGCGCTTTCGCGTCGGTATCACAAAAGAGGAATATCACGTGACGTTTTTTTCAGCCAATGAAAATTACGAAAATAATCTTCTTATATTATATCACCAATTAGAATAGGTTTTATCACTAATTTAAAACGAATATAGGTGTTATTACAAAATATTTACAGTTGCAAATGTTTTTTTTTAATATATAACACTACTGAAAGCAAGCGTATTTATAACTGTATAAATACAGGTACGGTATCAAGAGGTCATAGATGTGTATGGATAAACGTTCGACGTAATTTCTCAGTGATGTCATAAAGTATGAATAAGTCACAAATGTAAATATAAGTAATAAGGTATCATTTTTGAATTTTATTGGGATGTAAAACGGGTTGGCACATGATCAAATCTTCCATAAAGCCCGTTGTAATTGTATAATAAAACTTTTTAGAAATTGAAGAAAACTGCCATTATTTTATTTTTTCTTATCGTAGTTTTGCATATTTTTACAAAGAACGACAACTCTTCACATTTGGGTGATAAAACATTCATAAAAAGCAAAATTCAAGAACGATTTCAACTCTTAAAAACAAATAGAAAAAATTAAAAAATCATAATTATAGAAAAGCATTTTAGAGTTATAATGATTATTAATACATTCTCTTTTTTATCATAAGGTTAAATTACAGTATTGATTTTTGTCAACGTTGATCGATGACGTCACATCTGCATCAAAACAAAAATTAAGAGAATGTGACGACGGCGCAGCTTGTATCTGATAACTGTGTTTTAAAAGAGGCTAATACTTTATAAATTGTTTGTGATTTATTAGAGAAAAGGTGCAATGATCAGGTATACTAATTTTAAAGCCCTGTGTTTCTCTTTACTGAAGACAACAAGCCACATCCTTATGTAAGCAAGGATTTCCTCTGATATTCTTGACACCATCAAAGAATGCAAATATAAGTAATAAACAACGATTATTTAGTGAGCATGGCATTATGAATAGCAATAGCTCTGCTGGCATATTTTCCATGATGCGCTAGCGCGCATCATGGAATATGCCAGCAGAGCAATTGCTATTCTATCCATGTTCACTAAATAACGTTGTTTATTTCTTAAATAAATACAGGTACGGGGTCAAGATGTCATAGATGTGTATGAATAAACGTTCGACGTAATTTATCAGTGACGTCATAAAGGGTCGACGCACGTTCAGTGGATTACATACATGCCGTTGGGTTTGAAAAATAATGCATTTCACACGTTAAAAGTCACAATCAGGCAAATTTAAAGTATGAATAAGTCACAAATGTAAATAAAAGTAATAAGGTATCATTTTAAAACATCTATCGGGCTATAAATACGGGTTGGTATACGTACGAGATTAAGGGGACGAAGGATGTTTGGTCACATGACTCAGTTTAATTACGTCATAATCACTGATAAAATATGTATAAAATAAGATTGAAACAACAGTACTTGTATAAATTTTTGACTGTCTGTTTGAATTCACCATCTTGTATAAAAATATCTAAAAACATACAAACTTTCTTGCAAATATTATCAAATAATACTCACCTTAGAAGTTATAAAGATTATAAAATACATTTTAATAGATTGATCCACTCTTCTGCACCTTACTTGATAAACAATAAAGATGACCACCATAGAGCTAGATTCTTTGCTTTTATTAAAAGTTTCCCAACACCGCGCGTCCAACGACAAGCTACCAACCATAACTGGTGACAGCTTTACAGTATTACGTTACGCTACAACTCCATATCAGCGCTGTAAATATTATTCGTAGGGCATGACTCAGTTTAATTACGTCATAATCACTGATAAAATATGAATTTACACTGTTTGTTTGAGTCACCATCTTGTATAAAAACATCTAAAAACATACAAACATTCTTGCAAATATTATCAAATTACGGAATAGATTTATCCACTCTTCTGTTTTCCTACACCGCGCGTCCAACGAGTCGTTGACGTCGAAGTTGACGTCACAGTGGATCTCTCAGTACAGTAAGATTATATATGGTAAAACGCGGATAGTATTATCATAAAAACGGGTCATGATCAGTACATGGTTGGGTATTTTGTGAATTAGAGAGCACAAAAAATATTTTTACATGGATGTTGACGGAAATATTTTGTAGGTATGTCTTATTTCACTTATTTCGCAAAAGTGTGACGTCATAGTTGGGTTTTCCCGTACTCCAGAAATGTAAACATGACACGTTTTTCTCAAGCTCATGTCTTGTTTAAATATGTCCTGTGCAATATTGAGCTCAGCTTCACCAATCGATATTTTTACGGCTAATCAATAACATGACAATCTTGTATTTCAACGTAAATTTTCAAATATTGAATGATAGGATTTTTTGCAAATTAATTTTTGTTGTTGTTTAAGTTGTCTTAAAAAGTACGTAATTTTCCGTTTCCAGATGCAGTGTGACAAAAGAATACTGCTTTTTCGAATTCTTAACCCTATTCATACTCTGAAATATTTTAAAAGACACATGTTAGCTGACATATTTTTAATCTATACTGAAAAAAAATCCATTCTGGACCGATTAATGGGCCAGAAACATTGAGAATTAAAACTCCACTTAGACACTGTAAGGTATAGTATTTGTCACTCAATATCTCAAAAATAAGTCTAGAAACCTATTGATATATATGCTTTAAGGTATGTAGGACATACTATATTAAAGATCTACAAAATATGAAAAAAATTAAACGACAGGTATTTTTTCAGCCAAAGGTCCTTCTTCCCCTTAAATATATGGAGAAAAGTCAAGTTAAACAGTGCACTGAATCAATAACCGATTTGGAGCAGATGTGTTTTTAGGTACCATAAAGGAGTAAGCATACATGAACTTATCATTACCCCACCTCTGTTGATTTTTCCGTGAAATCCTGGCTTACGATTGGTTAAAGTCTGTCACGTGAAGGAGGTGGATTACTTATACCCGGTCAGTTGTAAATCTATACCCGGTCGATGTATCACGTAACAAACATAACGTGACGTCATTATATGCGTAGTTTAAGCGTGATGAAGCATTTAGCAGAGAAAATCATTAATTAACCACAGATTAAACGTTAATGTTTCATCGGTGGGGTAAATTCGTTACATAGTCTTTTAGTGACAGGGTATGGGATGATACCTGGTTAGTAAAGTTCATACCTGACTCGGCTTCGCCTCGCCAGGTGTGAAAATTACTAACCAGGTATCATCCCATACGCTGTCACTAAAAGACTAATACATGTATTACCTGCTTAGACACACATCCTGAGTTGTAAACCAGAAAACCATTGTTGCTGAAGGTTTCTGACGTGAAACATATCTAGGAAAAAGATATTCTTATTGCACGTTATATAGGAAACAATACATATATAATGTATACAAAATGTATATCAATTTAGTTAGATCTGGATAGCATCCATACATATTATACTTGTAGGGAAAGTTGTTCTCATACTTAACCGCTTGCACGTAATATTTTGAGATAATCAATAATAAAGTTTTACAAGGACTGGATATTGAATTATTCTTTATTAATAAAACATTTAATTCATCCTTTAACCAGGGGTTCAATTCAGATTCATGGCATGGACGCTATATGATGTCATATTACTGGAACGTAAAAGTATTCACACTTGTTACTGACCAATATTAGAACAGAGATTTTGAGGCTGGAAGCACGAGGTGAAACAATAAGAATTATAAAAATTCTTAGCACCAATGACTGATAAATAATAGTAAAATTTATCGAGATATATATACAAATAAAAACACAAACATGAGTGGAAACATTCATAAAGGGTCGTAAAGCAAATAATCAACCATAAAAAATAATAGAACTTTGATAGAATTAATAGTAACATGCTGTTTCAAATCCCTGAATCGACTAGACTTGATTTTTCCTTTTAAATTGTTAAACTGCCAGATAAGTGTGTCGCTCTTTTTGCTTCAATTTAAATGTTTGAAGGTGTGGCAATTTTTTTTTTTTTTTTTTTGAAATTTTAAACTTTGATTAAAGAAGAAAATACTCTATATTAGGAGGGGTCACATTTTTTTCAAAACATTCTGAATAAAAAGTAAATTTTCTCGGTCTGTGGTTTCTTAATTATATATGCATTGGATTTCAAAATAAGAGCAACATTTCAATTGAGTTTATAAGATGGAATTATGTTCATAAAAAGAAATTGATAGTTACTAATAATTTATGCGATTCACTGAATAAGCATTTTTTAAAAAATGTAACAAATAATGTAAACGAATTTTTTCTTTAAAATGTAGTTCTTAATGGAGTTTTATGAAGAGACTGACTTTTACAATTTAAACATAGACAAACTCAAATCACTGAAATGTAAAAGTCAGCTGTCAAATGTAAAAGTAAGTCTATTCATAAAACTCCAATAGTATTAAAGTAAGTATTATTATAATTTGAATGATATAATTACCTCTCCTAGTGGACAAATTCGTACATTTTGTCGACAGGATGCAAAGTCTATCACATGACTGCACACATAACATATTTGAAGACAATTTATCACTGAAAAATTCGAAGCCAGAGAGTTAAAACATCGAATGCAGCAATCCATATGCGTTATCAACAACTTTCCTTAGACAGTCTCTGTGCATATGAAGCATAAATTATTGCAGTTTATATCTATGCACTCATAAAATGTAAATGTTCTATTATACGTACCTTGAAAATGATAAATTGCCAAAAGAAAACACGTACAAAAAACCTTCATTCCTACAAAAATATAATCTTTTAAGGTTTTAACTTAAGAAAAACTTGGAGGACGGAAAATGAGTCTACAGTATACAAACTGAAAAAATTGTTGATACGTTTGACATATGTTGAGAAAAATTTAATTTTTGAAGAAAAATATACTAGGACTACGATAATTCTAAACTGCATATTTTAGAAAGCACGTTAGGTAATCGTAGATAAACAAGACTGAAACGTTGTAGTTCGTGTATCTCACGAGTTTTCATGAATCTCATATATCTCATAAATTCTCAAGAGTATGAAAAATTAAATTCATTTCTTTTATTTACATTGTTTTTCTGTGATTGCCACATTTATTTGTCATTCAACGACCATTTTTAAACAGAGAAGTTGCACTAAATGCTTCGTACAATGCATCACAATTGAATCTTCTTACTGACCTTATGGAAATTCACGACAATATGAACCTTTTTCTAATAGGCAAAGAATATTAAGGAAATATTTGGAAAAGTAAATATTCATATCATTTCTCGTTAATATGAAACTTTCTATCTATAGTAATTTAGTGTATATGTCGTAAACGAACGAAAGGATATCGTTCTAAGGTGATTTTGTTTTGTTAATTGCTAGTATGCTGCTTAACGCCCAACTCATGAATTTTTCACTCGTATGGAGACGCCACCACATGCAGGTGGAGAGCTGCAAATTTTGTCCGAAACTCGGCACTCAAGGCCATTGAGGAGGGATGGCACTTCCTTCGAGATGGGACCTCAGTATATTCGATATCATCCGAAGGACCGGTCTCTACGTCCCACAGTGGGATTCGAACCCGCGACGAAAGGATCGACTCCTTACTTTGCGCTCTAAGACGCTCTAACCACTGCGCCACGCGAGCGACTGATTTTGTTCTGAATCTGTGAAATGACTGGAAAGTATTGAACCATTTTTTCCTACATCTGAATATATTATTTCACCGGACAAAAAAAAACGTATTTCCTATCTCAAAATATGCCAATACGTAGTACCAAAAACACTACCAAAAAAGACCTTAAAAAAAACCTAACCACAATTTTCTAACAAGATAGAAATTAAGCTATAAGACGGGAAAAAATATATAATTTTTATATACAAGGTTAATTACTTCATTGCTGCTTTTTCAAAAAAAAAATGGAACTCTTTTGCAGAGTACTGTGCACTCCTAAAATTTCTCCTTCGTTACTGCTAATGTTTCAGTGAGGAGTAGAGAAAGAGGTTTGGTAAAATATTTTACTGGTACAGGAAGCACGGTCGTGGGACCAATAAAGGATATTTATTATTTACATGCCGCGAAAAAAATGCATAACAATCACATAGATGAATTTAGAATCAAACGTCCCCAACAACAAATTTACCTTTTCTTGAAGTAACAGATTTATGTATTTCCGTTTTTTCAATGCAAATAGTACAAACAACGTTAAAGATAAGCCTTTATTCCTGTCACATATAGCAGATAATTATCAGGATATGTTTGTGTAAACGGAATGCAATTCTAAGTGTTTCTCAAAGTATTGTACAGAATTCAGTACAATTGATAAGAATGCATTGTATCCATATCTTAAGTCTTTATAAATGTCAAACAAGATTATAAAAGTCCCGTTATATTCTAGGAGGGACAAATAAGTCATCTGGAACAATGTTTTTGTTACATTTAGGGGTGGTGCAGCAAAAGGAACATTCGAAATGAGTCGTTGTGAAAGAGTTTTGATCGTATCCTACACATTGCTGTCTATCTGATGTCTTTTCCCACCACTCATGTCGGCATTCCTGTTCTGTAGCACATCTGAATAAAAATGAAAAATAAATACTGTGAAATCTTACCTAAAGAATACTATTTCTGTATGTATTGATTTTAGTGGTTCCTTCTTAGGTCACCTGAGTCACTCAGATGACCTAATGCTATCCGTTTTCGTCCGTCGACGTGCGTCGTCCGTCGTTCGTCGTGTGTTAACATTTGAACATTCTCAACTTCTTCTCTGCAACCACTGAACCAATTTCAACCAAATTTGGCACAAATCATGCATATCATCTATGGGTAAAGTAGAACAACAATTTTGAAGTTCATGATCCCTGCCTTCCTGGGGCCTGAGGGGTGGGGCCAAAACCACTAAAATTAATGCAATCTTTAAAAATCTTCTTCTTTACTCCTGGACATCAAGCAGTTAAACTGTTTGCATGATTGTAATCAGCATTGAGTCCTCTACCAAAATTGTGAAATTCATGGCCCAAGGGTCAGGGGTTCTAGTGCTAGGGCGGAGCTAAATAAGTATATAGTGAAAATACATGAATTCTTTGAAAATCTTCATCTCTGCTCTTGGGTATTAAATAAACTAACTAAGTGCATAGTTATGATGAGCAAGAGTACTTTTACCAAAATTGTTAATTTTATGGCGTCAGGGTCAGAGGTTCTGGTGTTAGGGCGCGGCTCTATTGATTATATAGTGAAAATACATGAATTCTTTGAAAATCTTCTTCTCTGCTCTTAGGTATTAAATAAACTAACTTAGTGTATAGTTGTGATGAGCAAGAGTGCCTCTTCCAAAATTGTGATTTTTATGGCCCCAGGGTCAGGGGTTCTGGCGTTAGGGCGGGGCTCTATTGATTATATAGTGAAAATACATGAATTCTTTGAAAATCTTCTTCTCTGCTCCTAGGTATTAAATAAACTAGCTAAGTGTATAGTTATAATGAACAAGAGTGCCTCTACCAAAATTGTGAATTTATGGCCCCAGGGTCAGGGGTTCTGGTGTAAGGGCGGGGCTCTAATTTGATTATGTAGTGAAAATACATGAATTCTCTGAAAATCTTCTTCTCTGATCCTAGGTATTAAATAAACTAACTTAGTAAATAGTTGTGATGAGCAAGAGTGCCTCTTCTAAAATTGTGAATTTATGGCCCCAGGGTCAGGGGTTCTGGTGTTAGGGTGGGGCTCTATTGATTATATAGTGAAAATACATTAAATCTTTGAAAACTTTCTTCTCTGTCTCTGGGTATGAGGCAGATGAACTACCTATATAGTTATGATGAGCAAGGGCTTCGGGGTCAGAGGTACCATAGAGGGGGAGGGGGTCTGTACTTATATACTGAAAATGAATGGATTATTTGAAATCTGCTCCTTGGTATTAATCAAATATTTTTGAAAAGCAAGGATGCCTTTTCAAAAATTGTGCAGTGTGTGGATCTAGGCCTAAGGGTCAGGGGTTCATGTGTGGTACTACTGATTATTGCTGAATATTACTGATTAGTTGAAATGCACTTTTTGTTCCCCTACCCTGCCTATAGGTATTAAGTAACGAAGCTAAGCAACTGCTAAGTGTATTGTTATGATGAACAATGGTGCCTCTTTCAAAATTGTGAATGCTATAGCATCTGGCTTACATGTAAAGCATGAATCAAATTCAATAACTGGAAAGTTGTTGCATAATGCTCAGGTGACCTATAAGGCCCATGGGCCTCTTGTTTTTAACATACCATTGTTAAATTGCAAACAAGATATTTTACTGGTGATTTTTAATATCTTTCTCAATAAAATTTTGTGGGAAAGAAACGTATTCTTTAACTAATAAAAAGCGTAAACATTTATGTAAGAAGTAATGCGTTTACAAAACTCAGCTATAAAATGCACAATTATTTTTATCGAACGAGCACATAAACATCAATTTAATTTACAAAATAATCATAAACTAAGCAAGATGTAAAACATCTCTTATATCCATCATATAGAATAATGAAAGATAAATATTTTTAATACTTATTGTATTTTTGGTGAGCGCTTTATGTTTATTTTTTTACAACTCGTGATAAAAAATGATTTAAAGCCATTGCTTGTTACGATGACCCCCGTCTTGGGAATTTTAGCATAACTTGAGGAAGTCGATACGAGCAAAGGAGGACTCCTTGTACGACACTCTTCACTGAATGGCATTTACAATAATTCTGAATTTACAGTACCGCTTTCAATATTACCAAAAGAGGGAGAACTGACCGTACCAATATACAAGCAATTCTCTCTGGTGAGTATTTTCTTGTTCACTGCAGAAGTCACAATAAAAAGACTTTATAAGCCTTAGATGATGCAAATTTAAATACAAACCTTCTGTCCAATGTTCTGGAACCATCTCGATTGTTAACCAATTTATTTATACAAAACTGTTGGTCAGCAGAGTTGCATGTCAACGGCGTTGAAAGACGTTCACATAAAAATGTCGGTATTCCATCGCAGAGATAACAGGAAGCTATCCAAGGTGAATAAAAAAAATCCAAGAACACATTATCGTACCTAGGATTACTGGAAGAGACAAATTAACAGTGTACGAAAACATGTCTTTATCAGTATAATTTAAATTGTAAATTGGAGTTCAAAGAGACCTCTAAACAGAATAAATATAAACAACTTATTACTAGGAGTACTCGTTGTCGAGGTTGGCGTTGTCGTAGTCGATGTAGGCGCTCTAGTTGTCGAGGTTGGCGTTGTCGTAGTCGATGTAGGCGCTCTTGTTGTCGAGGTTGGCGTTGTCGTAGTCGATGTAGGCGCTCTAGTTGTCGAGGTTGGCGTTGTCGTAGTCGATGTAGGCGCTCTAGTTGTCGAGGTTAGCATTGTCGTTGTCGATGTGGGCGTTGTCCTTGTCGAGGTTGGCATTCTCGTAGTCGATGTAGGCGCTCTCGTAGTCGAGGAAGGTGTTGTCGTAGTCGAGGTAGACGTCTTAGAAGGTAAGGTTTGGTTGACGTGGGCAAAGTAGGAGTGGTCCTAGGAAAGGCTGAACGTATTGTGGATGTGATAGTTGAGGTTGCAACAGACACTGATGAAAATTAATTATCACTAAATAGATAAGAGATATTTAGGACACAGTCACGTGAGTATGAAGATTAGTTTTGTATTAAAGGAAAACTCAACTCTACCTTGTTTGTAAGTGTAATCAATTATTTAACTCGATGTTTAATATCAATATGCTTGAAAATAGTTTGTTAAATCAAAGGATCAAAAACAGTTTCATGGAAAAATAGATTTAAGTTCACTGTTAGAGTGTAGCTATGTGTGATCATAGGGACAACAAAATGGTCCATCAGGCAAACAATGAAGTTTTAAGGTGTCATATCATGGAATAAAGAATTTTAAAATGACATATTAATCAGTGCCATCGTAACTGCCGGAACTCCGATGTAAATTTCGATGGATGAAGAGAATAAGCAGGTTATTGTTATTTCTAAAATGTAACAGTGCATCTATTAACCACCAATATGTATGGTAAACACATAAAAAGCTGAAGGAATTTTGTAGCAATTTCAAAAAGAGGCCCATGGGCCAAATCGCTCACTGAATAACTTGGGTGATGCAGTTCTTCACCAGATTCCACCTCTTGCTAAACCTATCATGCCCCACTACCCCCTTCCCTTTTATGATTTAAAACATTAGAATCTACACTACCCCAAGATGCTTCCACATAAGTTTCATCTTTCCAGGCCCAGTGGTTCTTGTCAAGAATATTTTTTAAAAAATTTTCTATATATTTTCATGTAAAACTTGGAATTCCCTATTGTGGCTCCGCCCTATCCCCGGGGGTCATGATTTTATCAATTTGATATCTACACTACCCAACGATGCTTTCACGTAAGATTCATCTTTCCTGGCCCAGTGGGTCTTGAAAAGATTTTTTAGTGACCCCACCCTATTTTTGTCTTTTCTTGATTATCTCCCCTTGTAACTTGGGAACTTGGCCCTTCATTTTTACAATTTAAACTCCCCTTTACCCAAGAACGTTTTGCACCAAGTTTGGTTAAAATTGGCTTATTGGTTCTTGAGTAGAAGTCGAAAATGTGAAAAGTTTACATATGGACGGACGGACAAAATGTGATCAGAAAAGCTCTCTTGAGCCTTCGGCTCAGGTGAGCTAAAATTTATTACATTTTTGATAGTTCAAAGTCCAAAGAAGAGTGTTAATCTTCTCGTATTCTCATCATGTGTTTTTAAAAAGATTTGTCAAAAATAAAGTAACCTTGCGAGCTGCATTGATTCGTATTACACGGACGATACATGTCTCCTTCCTTTTCGCAACACCGGAAACAGGTGTTCATCGATCGTTTTCTTTTGCCTAAGATGTTACCAATGATTACTGGCGCATGCGTTCTATGTTTATTATCCCCATCAAGATTACTCAAAGTGTCACATATCTAGTAAAATAAATTCAGGAAATTAAAACTAACAACACATTTTTTTTTAGACTTTCATTATTTTTGGTGAAAGCTCTACTGAAAATTTTGATTAATTACCTGCTTAGATATACAGCCTGAACTGTATTGCAACACCCCACTGTGGTGAAAGCTTTCTGATGTAAAGCATATCTACAAAATATCGTTCGTTAGTCAATATTGAAAATGTCTAAAAAGCAGGAAGTATAATTGTATAAAGACATTTCTATTGAATTTTGTTTATTTCAATAACTGTTTACATTATGACGATGCGTATTTTTTTTTTTAACAAAATACAAAACACAACAACAAATAAAAACATAGGTTGATTGATTACGAAATAGGATTGAATAACTTAAATAATATTCAATTAAACACATTTGTAAACAGAAATGGAAGAAAAAGTAGGGCTTTCGCTGTGTTCAAAAGTCTTCTCGGAGAAATGTTATCCCATACGTGGAGATCTGAAGAGATTGTTTGAGGTAATGATGTCTGTCTTATTAGACGCTGGTACGAAAAAACGATTTCTTTTTAAGCAATGGCAAAAATTGCTAACAAAATGCCTTAAATTGCAGTCATTAATGTATACCTTAACGTATAACTAATTTCTGAGTTTGTTGCTAATTTGAAATTGATCACCCTTCCATGCTATCTGGGTAGACCCAGAAGTAAAAGTCAATGATTTCTAATCCATTAATTAAAAGTAAAAAAAAATCCTTAAATAAGAAATATCGTCTAATCTAAAGATAAAACAAATTGGATTTGTGTTTTTTAACGGATCTTATATCAGAAGATGTTTGAATCACAATACTCATATTACCATATTTCTACGGGAACAAAACTTGCTTTATTAAGAGTGTCCGATGAATATGAAAATGGAATATATGATAAGTTATAACTAAAAATCTCAGAGTATAACGAAGATTGTTCATTCTAGTTCTTTGAACAAAAGATGAACCATATCGTAATTTGGCATTGCATAATCCATCAAAAATTAACAAAACTTGTAGAAAATTTATTTTAAAAAAAATAATGTTCTTCGCGATGCTGGACCTTTTTAAAAGTTTCTTTACTTTAAAAAAAATACATAATTACCTCTCCATGAGGACAGATACGAATGTTCTGTTGACAGGATGTAAAACTCGTCACATGATTGCACACGTGACAAACTTGAAGACAACTCGAAACTAGATATTTAAAAAAACATGAAAGGTATAATGTGAAGAAGCATTTTTAATACAAAACAGCGTTTTTTTTTCAAGTCATTGGCAATTGTTTTGTGCATAGAGTGGCAACAACAATAAAACGTCAAAATAATTAAGTGCTAAGATTTTTTGTGATTAGAAAAATTCATGATTTTTCGTCGGATTTTTCCCAAATGTTTAATATTTTTCATGCATACTTACCTTTAAGATGATATAATATCAAAAGACTGAACAAACAAAGGTGGCTTATACCTAGAAATAAACAACATTTCTGTAAATTTAGAATACATATTAAAGACATTAATTTAACAGTTAGAAAATATGTTCTGCACTTTTAATAAGGAAGTGTATACATTTGAATTTAGTAAAAGTAATAAATTCCATTGCTCTTAACAAAAATGTCTGGATAATTCATTGATCAAAACCTTAAATTTAAAAGTTTTTTTTAATGTTGTGAAAATTATACTATACAAACAAACACGTTGAAAAAAGCGAACGTTCAAAACAGGTATTTAAAACCTTTCAATTGAAATTTTAAATATTTGTTACCTCTTGTGAACGAAATTTTACCATAATATTGATATAAATTGCAAAGATGTCATCGAAATCAATTCCCCGTCAAAAACTTAAGAGGAAGGTAGTTTACGAACTTTTAATTCACCGTTCAATTACATGTAAGTGCAATTTGAAATGAGAGCATAAAATACATGCATATTTGAAATTAGTAGAGAGTTATGTATTGAAGTATTTTATAGTAAATGTTTGATATGTTCCGTACTGTAACGATCAATGTATTATTTGTTTGATATAAGATATTTGATTTGTATACTAATAAAAAATCAACTCTACATAATTCAAAATAGTTAAGGCATTAAAGGACATATCAACCGCGAAGCTTCAAAAGCTATTTTATACTTACATACATGTATAGATAAAAGACAGATTTTCTATTAAAAAAATTCAAGACTGATCTAACAATAATTCTTTTTAATTGTCCGGTCAGGCTTTATCTAACGCTTGCTTCTTAAAGCAAAATCACAGTGGTAGTAATAAACGGTTAGCCAATATGAGATATTTCCTACTTGTATGACACACAAGAAAACCTACAAATTAGAATTTCTTTAAAAGTGTTCAAAACAAATTATATATACAAAAGGAATAGAAATCTGATTGAAATAAAAAAAAACATCATTCATTGCACTTTATACAAAAACATAATTCAAAATAACCATTCTTCATATTTCTTTTTTATTATGTTTATTAGATACAATCTCTTCCGAAGTTAGGACTTCTTGCACAGTCTATAAGCATTGCTCTGCTTTAACTGCTATTTGAGACGGACAAAATTGGGCTTCAAATTGATTCAAAAGATCACGGAGAACTTCTTAATTTTTATTCATATCCAATATTTAGTGATATGCCTAAATCAGCGATGAATTAGGCATTTAACACTGATAGGTGATAAAAGTATGATTTGTATAACAGAACTTAAAACCTGTAAGTTTAAAAAAAAACAGACCGCTTGGAAGACCGCTTGGAATTCAGGTACCTAGGGAGGGGGCACCTGCTTCCTGGCCACATCCACTGTCAGCTCTGTCTGTATTCCTATAATACCTGGACAGTACATGTCGACATATCCATAAAAAGGCTATTTTTTAACTTACCTATTCTTGAACTATGGGAAATATAATTGTCCATCTTTGAACAGGAATACTTAATAATTTTTAATACAAGATCACTTTTATTTTGCAAATTCCGGCGAAAATCCGCGCATGAATAATAAAAAAAAAAGAAACGGAAAGTAATAAAAACATAAAGAATATATATATATAAATAAAAAAAAGAAACTAAAGGACTGTTTGTTGGTTTACGCCTTTTACATGAATTTTCACTAATATTAGACGTAATAAGCTGAAAGGGAAAAATGTCTCATAGTTATTTTATTGAATCACATGTATTATGATACTGGTCATTTGAAAGCAGATATACGTGAATTTCCTTTTTCTTAAAATCCGTATATTTTTTTTTGTGCTCTGTATACCGGATCGATATTCACGACGTCAAGCGTGACGTCGCGATATATTATATATGACGTTGTTCTTAAACATGCTACATTTGTCAATATAAAAGCAATTATCTACAATTACGAAAAATTGAACCCGAAGACATATTAATTTTTTTACATAGATTTATTTCAAATCAATTCTATTTTTAAATACCAAAGGATAAACAAATTCGTCTGCACGATTTAAAAGTTACTGATATTTTTTAAATGAAAACCTTGCCTGAAAACAAGCCAAAAACGACGTTTTCCCTACACAATTCAATAGAATACCGTTGAAAATGTAACTACAACAATGACATCTTTGGAATTCAATTACACAAAAACGGTGCAGACGAATTTTATAAAATTTTCAGAGAATGGAAATCAAAGGTAGAGAAATCATATAGGTAATTTTCATGGTATATTTTCGAACACTTTTAAAAGCCCTGTAAACCCACGACCTACGCAAGTAAGTTAAGGCTAAATATGGATATTTTTATGTAAATAAGCTAATGAAATTTCATAATTTGTATAATTTATGTACAGAGAAGGTGCAAATTGATTTTCTGATACATACTCAGTACCCACAGTTTATTAATGCAAGTGCACATTATGACGTCATATTATGACGTCATTGTTCTCTCCCATTCAAGGTATTAAATCATATAAACAAAATCACGTCGGCGCAAGGGCCTATACTATCTAATTTAAAATAAACAATGTATAATATTAAGGTGAATATTCTTAAAATTAATAAAATTGCTGCACAAATCCTATGCACTTTCTCAATTGATAAAAATTTTAGGAAACTTACCCTGGACAGTGAATTTTTACCCTGTTAAAACTTAAAACTGCACGAATAGTAAGTAACCAATTTCACTGCCGACATTTGTGCAGCAATATCTCAAATCCTTGGAATATCGTGCGTCTTTTGATACCTTGTTTTTGTAAAACAAAGTAAGGTATGCCCTTGCGCCGAAGCAATTTTGTTGATGTTTCTTATAAACTTGTGTAGTACAGGTCGATGACGTCATAATATGACGTCATAATGTGTACTGGCTATCGCATGTCGTGGGTACCAAGAATGTATTAGAAAACAAGTCTTAGCATTTTCTGTGCGGTAGGTAGAGCAATTATGGAATTTAATTAGATATTTTGTATAGAAATTTCCATATGTAGCCTTAACTCACATGCGTACGTTAAAATGCCATTCTTTCAAAAATATGAAAAATACTTGAGCTTATAACGTGGACTTAAGGTATTCAATCCCTAATGGGAACAAATTCAGTAAAATTGAATACATAACTGATATTTAGGCATTGAATACTCAGTTTATTTAGACATATTTCCCATTTATTAATTTTAGTATGTATAGTGGATTGTGTCTTAATTTATGACCTTGAGTTCTGGTAAGAGTTATCTCCCCTTTTTTAATTAACAAAGAAAAATCAAAAAAAAAAATTTAGCAGGTAAAAAAAATTGTTTTCAATTGTCATTCTATTTTTAATGTTTAAATGCACCTTTCCACCGCAGGATTTATTGATATTCAAATTATTTGAAATTTTATGTTGAAAAAACACTTTTCCCCATAGACTTCAATGCAATCCTTTTTAATTACCTACTGCTTAAGTAATGACCTTTTTAAAACTTTCTCGCGGGCAATCGTTTTCCGCTATAAAATGCTTTAATATAATATCAGTGTATTATGTACTTGACGCACATTTAAGGGTAGGGAATTAGGTCCCATTAGGGATGGAAATCCTTAATAACTAAAATACAAAACTTTAATAGACTAAGAAAATTACCTTTCAAGTGGTGACAACCGGCAGCTGGTAATAAGTTAAATTTCCCGCACTGACAGGGATGGGCCCATGCCTCAGTATATATAGCAGAAAAACCGGTTAAATAAGGGGGTACAAATTTACTGGCCAATGAGATTTTTTGAGTAGAATTCATGAATGGAGACTACTACAAAATACGGCATAAAGTAAATAATGGCTCAGTAAGTTATTCAATAAAGATAAAAAAAAATATTTTAAATAAATATGACTCTGTCACATTACTTATGCAGTAATGCGGCAATATAACTTCATCACCTGCATTCGGATTTATATATCTCAGTTGATTCGATACGCAAGAACATGCTCTACTTATGAACAAAATTGATAAAACAAAAATATGAGCAGTCTCGTTTAAAGGCATCGTTTCGTAAGTTCTATGATCGATACAACGACCTTGTTAGTAAATACAATTCATCATTGAATCAAATGCTGACTGACTTTTTTCATACCAATTGTTTGTCGAATATTTATACACTGAATTGACGACAGATTTTTCCCTTATTTCCCGATCAAGAAAAGAATACACGGGATGTGACCGGTTGGCAGGGGATAATTACTCCTCCATCGCACCTGATCCCATCTCTGATGTTTTGGTAGCCCTTGTTTGCTCTGTTCCTACTTTGTATTGTTTTATGGACTTTTGTTCTTGAATACTCTTCGTTATCTCCATTTGTTCCACTCTATGTATTTGTACACAAATTCACTGGAGGTTAATAGAAGAGATCTACCAAATTGATTTACATGTATATACATTGCAAGGGCATACACGCAATATACACATGGACTCAAGAAGCATTTAAAGATATTTTAAAATTTGGAAACGAATTAATCTTATCTAATTATTGTATGTACTCAACCAATAGAAAACTTGGTTTTATGAAAACATGCGGTGAAGCATATACAAATGTATAATTTTAGCAATTAGTCATAAGAATATATAAAGTTCGTACAAAATATAAATGAATTTAAAGGTTTAATATTACTATTATCTACTCGTTATGTCTCTCAAACGGTGAATTACTCATCGGTCATTTCAAACCGGTGAGACAAATTTGCCTGCTATTTTCATTGGTGTAACTGAATTGTTATA